TTTTACCTCATCACCCATCATCACCCACCGCAACCACCAACCACCACCTATTACCATCACCCACCATTAACCACCACCACCACCCATTTTAATTAAACGAATTTTAACAATTTTTGAAAAAAAATAATTTTCAAAAATTACATTTTAATCGGCCATTTTGAATCGGCCGTTTTTAAATAAAATCACGATTTCTTAAAAAATAGTCACAAAATTCATCTTTAAGATGAGCCCAGAAAGAAGTCTATATCTTTATTTTTTTGGAAGATATGAATTTTTAAACATTGGGGAAAAGAGGCTTCAACGCAGGTAACACGGCAATTTTAAGATAGGATTGCACGCAATAAAAAGTAATACTGTTCCTTTAGATTCTCGTTTGATTTTTGATACGCGACAACGATGAGTTCGATTCGACTCGCATGAGCTACACTCGAACGCGTACGCATATACACGGTTAAACTCAACGTACGGCACGGAACTGTTAATTATCGTAGTATAATTGAATATAAGCACGATACGTAGCAATTGATGTATCGATGCAAACAAGCTCTCTTTCTAATTCAATAGGCACGGTGCGAATACCGCTGCACCTGCAATCAGTGAGAGGCGGGAACGTTCGGCTGTTGGCTCATCATCGCGATTATGGCAAAAAATGAAGGACCTTGCAGACCAGAGGACGTGTCCTCGCAGGAAAAGGAAAACTCGCAGCAACAACGAGTGCGCACCTGGATATGAAAATATCTGGATATGAGAATATTTTAGATCACCTTTTAATGCCCGGCTCTTTCCGCCGACCGATGCAATCGTCTCGATCGTACCTGCGTTTCTAGCAGCGTTCTGGGAAAGGAGCATTTGTCGCCTCATATATGTATATATATATTTTAATATATATATTATTAGTAAACTATTTCAAATGCAATTTTTTTAAATACATTAAATGTATCCTCCATGCGTATGCGTTGCAGATTTCCTTATCTTGTTTAAAGCAATACCAGAGTTTTAGAAATACCAGATTTAACAACGGAAAGTAGCAGCGAAATATATAATAAATATATGACATGCATACGCAACTTATTGTGTTAAAATTAAACGGAAACGCATTTTTTCACATTGTAAATCCTTTTCTTGACTTAGCGTTGAGAATTACAATAAGACATTTACAAGAACATAAAAACTTTATTGTGGTCCATAATGTCAGGTATAACGGTTACACTTACAAAGGACAGAATATCTGCATGGATTTTTAACGCTAGTGAGATGAAAGATCATGAGGATATATGACGTATAATCCCAGTAAGCAAACTGTCCGCCAATATGCCAATGAAAAATTGTTATAATAGAGTAAAAAAAAAAATAATACAAAAATTGGTATAAATTGTGCCCGTATTAAGCTCGTGTTTCACAAGCAAAGCCTGCTGACATAGTCTGACAGCAGATTGGCGGTAAGAAATCGAGTAGAATCTGTCAAACGTGGATTCTATCCTATTATTTCAGTCGCCAATCTGTGCTGAAATGTGTAAGATGTTATAATTTTTTTGCTGAATTTCCACCATCAATATGCCAGCATTTCGCCAACAATATTGTATATGTTAGATCCTGTCTCAAATCTATAGTCTTTTTATCTATTTGTAGCCAAACACTTTGTAGAATTTATGTTCTCAACAGTGTTAGCTGTTCAAGATCTTTTTTCTCGCTTCTGATGGAACATTTCGATGGCATATCGCGTGTCGAGCGCATAATAATGATAATATCATGCGAATCGGTTTAGCTCGCCGCGATAATCCACACTCGAAAAATGCAGAAAACATTGACGACATTGGACGGACTACACGTGTTACGAGGCTGACAAACGAGATGTCTAGCGAGTCGATTTAAAATTGTAAGATAATTTTTTTAAAAATGCTACATTTATTTACTTGCTAAAATGCTACATGTATTTACAGGATGGACTAATCACGATGAACAAGAGAACACGGATATGTTACGCAGTATCGTCATAATTTTCCCTGCAACAAATGACTTAAAGCACGTTGCTGTTAAATATTTCCTAATTTAAGGAATTAAATTCAAATTTTCAGGTGGGAGAATTAGGAAGATTTATGTGACGTGTTTGCTAATCGTCCGTTTAACTCAATCATTCCTTTTTCGCATAATTTCCAGAGACAACGCAAGAATTAAGAGACAGTACAATAATATTTTTTGACAAGAGCACTGCACTATTTTAATAACAGTTTAATTCTTCTTTGCTTAATTAGCGAAGAGGGCGAAGGCCCATATTTACATTATATTTAGAGCCGCAATTAAATCTGTTTTTAAATATTATTTATTCAACAAGAAAAAATCGCATCCATTGCGAGATTAAATCATGGGGATAAAATCGTATACCTGGCTCTTTGACATTGAAAGAAATGCAAGATTGATATATTCAGTCCGAAACATTCAAAAGTGCGCATCGGACTATATTATGCAAAAACATTACTTTCTCTAAATGTTTAACGAAGAAATATATATGTATATATGTATCGCATATTAAGAAATAAATACGGTAAGAACACAAAAATACTTCGGGGGTAGTAACAAGCGCGTGCAATTGTTCGGGCACGGGAGCAAAATCATCATCCCAATCTCGAGAGGATCCAAACACTTGGAGCCGATCGCCGGTCGACATTGATCAACGTCGATTCCAGTTAACGAAGAAGTTTTCTCTCCGTCTATATTACAGATAAAAATTACAGTCTAGAGAGAGGCAGCGAATCGGTAACCGGAGCCACCCGACCCGAAATCCCGGTTTTGGGCATCGTGTATGTAACGACCGACCGATGTATAATCAGTCTATATCACAGAAACGGAACTCTCCATTTCGCTCGCAGTCTTCTTCTCGTCGCCGTCGTTGCCGCCGTCGTGGCCGTCGCCGTCGCGGCGACTGCGTTTGTCGACCAGCTCGCCGGGGACTAGAGACGCGTCCTTCGACAGGATCAATGAGTCCTCGCCGATAGGCGCGGCGGCCTCGACTAGATTTTCGACGGACGCCGCCGCCGTCGGTTCCTCGTGGCAGAAGCTCCTACGTAGAGACTGCTGCGTCCTCGCGGTGCCTCTGCGTATGCTGCTACGCAACAGATTCGCCACATCGGCGGCTGTCAAGTTCGACCCGGACAGGGTGTGCGCGGCGGCGGCGGCGTTCACGCACGGCCGGCGACCACGATCGATCGTCGAGTGAGTGCGTTCGATCGTGCGCGATCTGCCAGCGATGCCGATCCTGTTGGCGCGGTCGATGGTGTTCGGCCGATGACGGCGCTCGATCGCTGACGCGTCCACGCTGTGCCGGCTACCGCCGGTGTTCGTCACGTCCGGCCGCGGCTCCGATAACACGTGGATCGCGACGTGATCGCGCGATATCGGCGCACCGGTCTGGTTCATCTCCACCAGGACGGTCGCATAATCCGGCGGTGGCGGCTGCAACGCCGGCCTCTGCCGCGGCGCGCTGCTCTCCCCCAGCACGTTCGCGATCCTCCGCACGCTCCGCCGGAAGCTCTGCCGCAGCATCTTCGCGATCCGCGCCCCGGTCGCCGTAGTGTAGCTCGGCGGGGGCGTGTACTTCGGCGGCGGATCCTCGAAAGGTATCTCCGTGGTCGCGGTGGGTAGGATCCCGTTCCCGTGCAGGCTGGTGCTGGTGTCACTTCCAATTTGCGTCTGCGCGTCGCGAGGATCCTCCGGTTCCATCGGTGGCCGACAAAGCAATTGAATTCTCTGCAAAAGTAGAAACAGATTGTTTCATTGGGAATGAATACGGTACACGTGAGAAACACAATAGGAGTGATTTTACACATATTTTGCTTACAACACCTTTATGCATAATTATTTATACGACTAATTTCTTGTGCAGCGATGTACTATTAAAAAGCACATTAATACGTATTATAAAGTAACGTGTCGTTGCAACATGTACAATGTTAACGAAAGTTAAATTACTGAGAACTTACGCCGTTACATTGTTCACAATGATTTATTGTTACTTCCACCCGTTCGTTCTATCACGTCAGCAAAAACAGAAAGACAGTGCGAAAGATATGTTAGCCATTAGTAGCGTGTGCTTGTGGCATACACACAATTGTATACAGGATGTCTGGTAATAAGTCCGATAATAATCATACTCTCAGGCAAGCGGAAATACTTACATCGAATATATCGGGTGGTTCTTCGCGATTCAAGTATCGACACGTCTGTATGGCAGCCACTGCCGCTATCACGAGCACCGGTGTCAGCTGAATCGCCGCCCCGAGCTGCCTTGCCCACACAGCCCAGTAATCTCTGCTCGTGCGACGATAGGAGTACAGTTCCCGGAAGTCGCCGCTCTGGTATATTATGATACTCAGAACCTGCGGAGTACAATAACGATGACGCGCGCCGTGCGTGACCGCGGCTCAGATAGACTCCCTCGTTGGCGTCTAATGAGAACTTTTATTTACCAATAAAATGACGGGAAGAACGACGTTCCACGTGAAGGAGAGAAGAGGACCAGCCCAGTACCTGAGACATCGCCCGGTCGGTGGGAATAACTCGGCGACGACCGTCTCGCCGGTATGCGGTCGCCCGCGGACCCCGAACACGGCGACGATTTGTATTAGATACAAGCTAATTATCCACCAAGCCCCGCCGACGGTGTAATCGAGATAGTACACGACGTAAATACCCAACTGCGAACACATAAAATAATATATAATATAGATAAAATTTATTAAAACAACGTTAACTAGCTCGTGTTAAAAAAAAAAACAAATAAGAAATTTTGAATCGGCCAAGGAACGAGTAAGGTGTGACATGAAATCACAAGAATATTATAAAAATTATTTAAGCAAATTTAATGTCAAAACGTTTCGACTGCACATTCTTCAGTTGAAATAAATTAAACATATAAATAAATTAATAAAAATAAAACATCAGTAAAATAAATTAGACATTTAAAATAGATTGATAAGAAATCTGTAGAAACTAAATTCAGTTAATAATAAAATTCGGAAAGCCTGAAACAATGAACGCTATGTAAAGTTATGTCACATATTATACTCGTCACACCTTGCTCGTTCCTTGGCCGAGTCAAAATTTCTCGTTGTTAGAGAGAAAATTTATTAGAATTATTATGAGAACACATATGAGAATAGAAGTGTTTCTTCAAGCTATCTGATTGTGAGATGGCAGATAATTCCTACATTTCTCAATATAATAATAAATGTAAAATAGATATATATTCTCATTAAAGTGATTACCATTTATTGCTATTACTACCGTTAGAAGTATTATAGTCTATTAAGATACTAATGACATTGTCGAAACACTTGTCTTTATATCCTTCACTTGTATGTCTAAAAATATGACGTTATTCCTGGTATAACCGGAGTATCTTGTCAGTGTAGCGTGAGGAATAAACATGTACAGCCCAGATTCCTTATCGGGGTCTGAATCGTGCTTATCTCGGCCAACGGTCTTCACGACTTTTCTAACGTCGTTCGCGGGATTGTCTTGATCCCGCAGGATCACGACGGCTCTGAGAACGCAGGGCCAATCCAGCAAGGGATCCCACTTTCCATTCTCCACGCGCAAATATCCGATAACGTGACGATCCTTCCACTGGCCCTTGCCATTCAGAAACAGCTTCATTCTCAGGGTGTAACCGTATTCCTTGCTGTAGAATATCGGACTGTAGAGCGCGTGATCGCTCCCCCTCGCCTCGCTCATCTTCTCCTTGTAACGATCGATTCGCCATATAATGCGGCCATTCGTCGAGGCATTCTCCGCACCTTCGCAGGAACACGAGCTTAACGACGGTTCCGGTCTACAGTTCTCCATGATTAGCTCTTCAATGTACTTCAGATTCTCCTTCATTTGAAACTTTAAACCTTTTATCTCCGATTTCCGTTTGGCCACGCTCTCGGCGTGCCTACAGATTTCCTCCGACAAGCTCTTCATCTTCTCCGACAGAGTGTCGTGCTTGGACGTTAATTCGTTCGTATTCTTGCACCTCATTTCCAATTCCAATTTCAAATCGTTGACACGTTGCGCATGTTCCTGCCATATATCGCTCGCGCGTACGCTCTCCTTGGCGACGAACGTCTTCAGGTCCTTCATTTCCTGGGTCCAGTCGTTCGGCGTGCACTGCACGTACTTGCTTTGCTCGTCGACGGTCAGCTCTCCCTGCAGCAATTTCAGCTGCTCGGAGATTTGCCGTAAATTCAAGGTAGTGCAATGCTGCATGTCGTCAGTGATCATCTCCAGAGTGTTCAGTCGCCGACTCAGTGCTGCGTGATTACTGCGAGATTCCTTGACCGTCTCCTCGACGTTCAACTGCAACGCGACGAGAGATTCCTGCTGAGAGTGCAGCAGGCTCAGGTTTCTCGAGAGATCGTCCTGCAAGCGTATCCGCTCCTTTTCCCCCTGATCGATAGCTAAACGCAGTAACGTCAGTATCGAGAACACTTTCTCCTTCCACACCGAATCCTGGATGTCCCTCATCTGGCTGTTCCTCACCGACGTTCCCCTGTTGCACAGTTTCTCGTGTACCTCCAGGCTCCTGCGCGGCACATAAACCCCGCATTTGTTGGGGCATTCCTCCAGGACCGCCGCGCAGTGCGTTATATGCTCCGTTAAATATTTCTCTTCCAAAAACTCGTTGCAAAAGTAGCAAGGCACGCTGCGACGCACCACCGAGTGTACGTTATTACTCATCTTCCGTTTGTAATGCGGACGCGCTTGCGATACTAAGTACGCCGCGACCGAACTAAAATGAAGTGCTGATAGCAATTCTCCGGAACGAAAGATTGTGCGCTCTATCTGATAAGAGCTGGAGAGACCTTATCCGAAGACAGAGATAATATTACAGCTATACCCAAGTTACATATAGCTGTGTCACGCGCGTATCGCGTTAACATACTACGTAAATTAAAATGCGGTGACGCATAATACATACAATTCATAATAATGTAAATATTTGCGTGGGTGTTCCGAGTATAATCGCATTTTCGGAATAATATCTTTAGGCTGGATAAGAAATCTATCGAAAGATATTTGTCATCAAATTATAAAAGAATTCCAGCATACCTCCGTAGCCATAGGCAATCCGAGTATGTAGGCACAAGCGCAGCTGAAAAACGTGATTGTGGTCTCCCACAGCTTCATCATTTTCGTGTTGATCGCCATTATACCGGTTATTACACAATGCCAGATCGCCAACTAAAATATTTGGAAAAAAAAAACTCTCAATTCCTTCATTTCCTCGAATGTATATCCATCAAGACTATAACGTGACTATATTTTTTAATCGCATATCAATAGAATCTTATTTGTAGTATCTCTTACACTGAGTACCGCGGGGAAAAAACGTATGTGTACCTGCTGTGCGATTCCAAATAAGATGAGAATGAAATAAAACAGGACCGCCCAGAACGGCGACACCTGTTCGGTGCCCAACAATGCCAGCGTCGAGGGCACCAATTCAGTGGCTAACCGTAACACCTGGTATCCGGACTCGGCACTCGTGTCGGCGCCAGGTCGTATTACGCGCTGGCCAAGAAGAAACGATGCGTGAGACATGAATCTCTCCGGCGTGCTGCTGTACCCCGACGGTGCTGGTTGGCTGGCAAGCCTCATAAACGTGTACCCTGATATTCTCTCTGTGAAATCGTCCGTGAATTATAACTTGTGCGAATGCGTGCCCGCGCGATAATCCCGATTTGCCCGAGGTAATACAAGACGACGGTGTTTACCGAAAGAACTGGTGGTGTAGACGTAGCCGTGATGCCTGAGGATTTGTACGCAGGTATTCGCGAGAAAAGCCGCGAGAAGGAGAACCACAAACGTCAGGAGTACCACTAAGCTCGTATCACGCTGTAGGAGATGCTTGTGCTTGTTATGAGCCGCTATCTGAAATTGGTAGTATTTCTAATGAGCCGCACATCGATCGTCGCGTTTAAGTGCTACGACCAATCGAATCATAGGAGAGAGTGGCTTGTGCACGTGTTAAATAATAATCGTCGTACGTATATAGTGTAAGGTGTGACGATACCTGCATAGCGGCCGCACCGAGTAAACCCCATGTGAGGAAGACCTCGTTCGAGGCAGCCACCCATGACTTGCCATTAATAAAGAATTCGCTCCAGACGGTGGCGGGGAAAAGTTGGTGTATCGAGCCCGGCGGAGTGAGTCCGAGCAGCTTCGCGCAAAGGATTAACGTGCCGAACACGGGCACCAGGGTGAAAACGTACACAACTTTTCCGTAAGATCTCAGTCCTAAATTAAAATAGAAATGATCAAAAATCTTTTATGATGCATTGAATAAAGATAATGATTTAAAGTCATGTGAAATATAATTATGCGTGACAAAATTTTTTGTTTACACTTTATAAGTGAATATAAATACTAGCTGTTATATATTTCAACATTTTCTAACAATTACTTCATTAAGTCTTTCAACACTCCTTTGTTTTCATAGAAAAATTAATGTTAAAGAAAAGAACTGTCACATAAATCTATCGAGAGAAGCAAGCACAAAACAATAGATATTCGTAAAAATTCATGTCTTTTTTTTCATTAAAAAAAAATATTTACCTTTACTCAGTGATACAAACACGATCATCCACACGACGGCTAAATTGAAGGCCACTTGGAACTTCAACGTGACGACACCAGGATTAGCCTCATTCAAATGATGCCTTTGCAATACAGCACCGCTGAAGTAATCCGGAACAGTCTCGTATAATTTGTACAAAGCTGTGGTGTTGTGCGTGGGACGGCTGTCGTCTCGATACAGAAGAAACGGCTCCGCCCATCGATACCTGTCCTGCTTCGTTATGAACGAATCTCTGCAATCAATGTACCACGCATTTTGTCCCACTTGATCAACATGGCATGGCATTATTTCGATATTGCGAGCGAACGGCGGAGGAGTTTAAAGACTTGAAAAAGTGTATTGAGATCATCGCGTCGAGATCGCGAATAATGACGTACATATATGTATATCAATCCGACACTGTTTCTAGGACGAACCTGAGATTTTCATTATTTCTTTTTCACCTACTAAACTTGGAATATGTAAATCCAAATACGAATTTACCCGTCAAGTTTTGTCAGAACTTAGTGATATCGACCAAACGATATCGATTTGATTATCAAATAATATATACGGTACTTTATATTTTATTAACATAAACAAAATTGCGAGTTTAAAAATAGTATTAACACAAATGTAAACGGAGTAGATAGAACAGATAAAGTAGATTAGTTTTCACAAATGCAAATGTTTACACGAATAAATGTAAATCTTAATACACGAATGAATGCAAATTAACCGATTTGCGCCGATCCGCGTCCTTTGATTTCGTCAAAAAATCGCTCCACTAGCACGAATGAAAACAACGAATGCAAACTCGATAAATAAATCCAATTTTCACAAATTTCATACACAAAAAGAATGGTTTTGCTGAAGTATCTATAAACATTTAAGATCAACGATCTAGGTACCGATTTGAAAATAATTTTGTTGGATCATCAAAATAATAGGACGCTCTCAAGATTGCTTGAATATCAAAACTATCATGTTTGAAAATCCTATATAATAACTTTAATAGTCCAATGTAATTATTTTCAAATCGGATCTAGCAAAATTTTTAAATACTTAACAACAAAACCGTTCTTTCAGTGTGCGAATAGCAAACTACGAATCTCGAACCACGAATTGTGCATAACCTGCAGACGCAAGCTTAAGAGATATACATTTCGAAATGTATTTTATTATGCATCAGAACTCTACCTGAAGTAGACGAACATCCACGATACGCCGACTATGCTGTAAATACCGATGAATGCCTGCGCGGTGAGCAGAGCTATCCCGACGCCGTGGAAAACCGGCGATATTCTCCACATATCCACGGAACCGGCCGCCAGTCTTTGCCCGAGACATAATTGCAGTGTCAATAGCGGGATGCCCAGTACGAGGGACAAAATCAGGAACTGTACAATGAAGTTAGCTGTAAAAAAAAGAAGGTGGAAAATGAAGGATTAAAAGCGTCTGCAAACAGAGAGAAATAAAGAGGAGCCTGCGAGAAACGAAGAAAAATCGTCTCGCAGTCGAGGTAATCCGACTTCGTCGAACGTGGGTAACCGTCCGACCGTTTCCTCGATAAAGATCGATATCATTATTCTCGCAAACAGCCGCGCAACTAATTATCGACATTACGGAGGGCACATCGCGATATGAATTAATATCAACGGCACGGCGATTTCGTCGGTCCGCCGCTCGTTCAGGAAGGCCTTATTTCGCATTGGCGCCGCATATGTCGTGGGGAAATCTATAATTTCGCGGGACTGAGAAGCTCGGGTATACGGCCCCGTAATAAGTGCGATCGCCAGTACTGCGCATAAATTTCGCCAGTCACGAATAAATACGGAGATCGCGTTTTCTGCGTGCTGAAAACAGCGAAAACGTCGTAAACCGACCTCGTCGAAACGCGACCGGTCGACCTGAAATCGTTCCGCGAAAAAAAATTAAGTCCAAAGTCTCGCCACTTCGCGCATACGACTGTCGCGTCGCGAAAGAGAAAGAGAGAGAGAGAGAGAGAGAGTGAGGAGAGTGAGGAGAGTTCGGTGGAATTATTTTAACGTGAAATTTTCATCGTGACGCGTTCGCGGCATCCTTGCGGCTGGCGCAAGCTTGCTGCAACGCGACGCTCACCTCCAAACTGCACGCTAAGAATGGCGAATCTGCTAATGTTAAAAAGTCCCAGAGTGCAGCCGAGACACGCGAGGGTCGAACTGAGGGCGTGAGGCCATTTCCCCAGAGGATTCTCGTCCTCGTCATCGTCTTCGCCCCTGTCGTTATGCCTGTTGTCGGCGTAACTCTGCCTCTCGGATGACCTGAAATCAATACCATAAGAATGCGCAATTATTACGAGTAACTAATATATAACACGTTACAAGGTATATACTGTACAAAGGAAGTATGTTTCTGAAGTAAATTGAAGTAAAAAAAGTGTCCTGTAAATCCAATTTGAAACGATTATTCATTCACAAACGATCATCCAACATGTTTGGCCATCGAATATCACTCTTTTAGATTTTTATATATGGAGTAATGGAAAAGTTTAATGCCGAAAAGTTAATACTTGAACTGAATTAATAAAACAAATTAATGACGCGTGTGAATAAATAAACAATAATCATAATGTTCTTCGAACCACTATAAATTCGTTTTAGATCATATCATTATACGTGTACTAAGAATGTCTACATTTGAACAATTTATGCGATTTTTGTTTTCTTTATTTGCTATTTTTAATTTAAAAATTTCCCAAAAAATTGTTATTATTCATAAACTTTAATACTTATAGATGGATAACTAATTCGAATTTAACTCATGTTTGTAAGACATTTTTTTCAATTTATATTTACATCAGAGAAACAAGCTCCTTCAGTTAGTATACATGTAACACCTTATATATAAATATATTATAAACCTGACCATAAACTTTAATAATAAACTTTATTACAAATATTAATAGTACATAATCTCGATAATTAATAAAATAAACCTTGAATTCTGTACCAATATCTATATTCGATAAACCGAAGGCTCTTAACTTTACGAAGTATGTATATATATATCCAGCTTATTTAAAAAAAAAAGTATAATTTATTTTCATATCTAAAAGAGAAATGTGCGAAAAAGGATGAATCCCTATAGTTGACGCAACAAATCTCATTTGCACATCGTAAAATTAGCATTAACGATTGCGCGACGTTTTATCACGTCTACATCTCGATTTCCGCCCGCAGTCCACGAGCCGATGCTGAAGTCCTGCGATCCGCGGTAAAACTAGGTCGAGTGCAATTTTATCGCGTGCTGCTGTCTTAACACGGGAAGGGTCTTATCGCGTCTTAGCCGTCTTATCGTAAAACTTGTCCATCTGATCTCATACAGAGACGGATATATCCAGCGAGGCGTTCATCCTACGCAGCGAAGACACCCGTTTGCCCGAGCGCTAAAATTAGCGCGGAAGCGAGAGAAATCTTTGTCTATCCCCGCGACCTAATCGCTGTAACGAGTAATCGCGCGCGCGAGTGGTAGGGGTCTTCGTAAATCCAATAAGACGATCGTGGCGGATGATACACGAAGGGAATCAGCAGTAAATTACGATCTCCGCGCGAGCTCTATCGTGTACTTAATGTGATTATCCCAACGAGGATTTAAATCACGCGCGCCGGACGGACACACCCGGTAGATCGCCGCGGTAATGCCGATAATAGATCTGTACCGTCAGATCGGTATACCGTTATCGCGAGATGGAGAGGCAAAATAGGCGAGATGGAGCACTGTCGTGATCGTCGCGCGTCAAAGCGGAGGTTTCTCCGCTCGAGGAGCTTCGCCGAGTTCCGTGACGTCCATCGGTGCGTCATCAAATGCCGCCGCAAATGGGCTCGCATGCATTATTTATTAAATGAAATAAACTGATAGTATATACACACGAAAGTCAAACTCTCTCTTTTTGCGAATGTATACATATATATATGTAAAATATTCTCCGTTTTTTTTTTTATACGAAACAGGATATTTTTCATGATGCATACATATAAAATACTCTCTTGTTTCTTTATAAGAAACGGAGAATATTTTTAGAAGTATTACAGATTATTTATACGAAAGGAAATGTTTATAGAATTATATCTGAATGAAGATACAAAATGTGTGTAATTACGTGTAATCTCTATTAAATGTAATCTTTATTAAATATAATCAAATATAATTTAAATGTAATCTCTATTAATTATAATCTCTATTAAATTTAATTTTATTAAATATAATAAATATTATTTTATTTATAACTGCAACTATTATAATTGTAATAATACTATTTGTTTTTATAATTGTGATGTTTCTAGAATTACAATCTATACAAAAACTTTCGTTGAAATACCAGATTGATGCAGCCAAAATGGTCAAAAAACAAAGAGTTAATTTTTTTTAAAATAATGTATGTATATAATTTAGTCAAGCTATTTTAAATAACATTGTGTTCCAGACGTTCTAAACGGTAAATTTCTTGTTTGGTAAAACCCCGGTTTTTTTATACTTTCAAAAAACTGGACGAGTAGCCCCTTGAATAGCCTCAAGTTCTATATATATCGCTCCTCCACTATGAAATTTGCTGGACCATTGTTCGACTGTGCGCTCATTAACGCTATTCTCCCCAAACACAGTGTGCATGTTTCGCGTAGCACGGGCAACAGAATGCCCAAGTTTAAATTCATGCAACACGATTGTCCAGATATCTAGATTTCCCATGTTCCAGTCAGTTTAAAATAAACTTGTTAATAAAATAATAAGCTATCATTAATTCATATATCGATTTTAACTCAGGAGAGGAAATGCATCAATACACCTATATGCAATTTGACGCCGCGACGAGCCATTCTGTCTCGTAAAATAATTAAGTCCGACATTTTTGACCGACTTAAATAACAGCTACGAAGACTAATCTTTCCTCAACCTCGCGCGGATAGATTCTGTCTCAACGGCGACATTGTTTGATTTCAAAATCTGCTTGTAGATTATTTGACGGATACGCGGATCGACGTAGCATCGGCAATTTGTGCCGCGCGTATTACCATAAAACACGAACTTGTGAATTTTTTCATCGTCGATCGATCGCCCACGTATTAACGGTGCTCGAAAAATGCGCGAAATGGAAATCACGTTGCCGCTAACTGCCGCGGCATGAGTCTACGCGAGTTCATGTTCGATTGCATACCAGGAGGCATTGCCTAGACAATAAAAAGAAAAACGTACGGCCCGCATTAATAGCTGTATAACAGTTTACATAACACAGATAATAGAGTACGCTGTTATCGATCAATTATACCGCGAGCTGTACTATTAAACTCGATATATGTATACGACATTGTTATCTTGAAGAATTCAATACGAGTTGCATATTTCCATGTTAGAACAGCTGATGAATAATGTATCTTCGAATTATTAAACTGTTTATGCATTTTTTTTTTATCGATTGCTAGTTAGATATATAAATAGATGCCGCTAAACGTGACGTGTCAGTTTAACATTTAACTTAAGATCTACGATTCCGCTTTAATTACCGGAGGAATTGATACTTTAACGCGGACGTCGTCTTTACGGACAGTTAACTCTGACTAATCTTCCACGAGCGCGTTATTCGCAGTATTCCGGGAAAGCTCTAAAGATCGCGATCGTCGGCACGAGGAGCACCCTGTTATCGGCGCGGCATCGCCGACGCAATTTGCACACACCGAGAAGCGAAGAGAGGTCGGGCTTGTTTTTGATTTTAAATTGACGTCACACGGATATTTCGGGGAGAGAAACGCGCGAGGTCCGAAGGTCGTTAAAAACCGAGGAGGTGACAAAGGGCGAACGGGTTTGGCCGGCGAGATCGATACGGCAACCGCGCCGTGGTCACCGCTAATGACCGCGAACCCTCGAACGACCCCTTAACCGATGCCGTTTGCGATTAGGCGCACGCGAGCCGCCACACATATTCTTGACACGATAACCACACGCCTCACACGGGTCTCCACTCCTCTTTCTCTTTCCGCTCGCTCGCTCGCTCGCTCGCTCCCTCCGACTCGGCTCGGATCTGTGCCCGATTTTGCGTGGGTCAGTCCGGTCGATCGAGGCTGGCCACTTCGATGAAAATATCCCGCGAAACAGTTGAACCGGTAAATCGCGCAGGACTGCCGATGCCTCGACCTCGATAAAATGACAATAAAACGCAAATCGAGTACCAGTTAAATACCTATAATAATACGGAAACTTAATACGGAATTATCGTATACGGAATCAACGCTATCTGTATGATATACATATGTCATTAAAATCATTAATTATTAATTCTCGCGAGTATCTTTTTCCGCTAGATCTAATAAAACTTGAATTTGTAAAATGAATTTACAAAATTTTGCGTAACGGTAAGATCACAAAGAGTTTTTGCTTATAATATAATTTGCTTATAATATAATTCAGGATTACCTTTCTGATACTTTATACTTTTAATCTTTGTTCGTTCGACTCTTGCAGCAGTCTGGAAAGTGATGAGTTTCGCTCGACAGGACTGACTCAAAGGTTTCGTCTCACACAAGCGCTTACTTATTTAGAAGACATTGCCGTTAGTGATTTATCGACTCGTTCGGGAAAATAGCTATATTGATCGCTCGTTTAGTCTCTAAAATCTATAAAATCTGTCAAGGCGAGCGCGTCATATTAGGAACCCGATGATTTCAATGACATCGTCTAGCAAGGTTGAAACACATATGCAGAGAACAATTGATCCTTGATCAATTAGAAACGCCACTTAGTCTCCGTGGCGACATGGTAATTTCCGTTTGATTATATTACAAATTTTCATTCAAATGTCTTTCATTATAGATGGAGGAGCTTCAAAGACCTTCGCGAAGCGAAGATGATTTTGTGTTATTTCCTCTATTGTTATATTTATATTTACATCGCTGTCATATTAAAACATTCGAAACTCATATATCTTTCATCTATTTAATTAAACTGTACACAGCTATCTTATATATATTTATAAGATCTATGTGTATCCCTATTTATGAACGTAATGCCAAAGCTATCTTTACTAAAAACACAACAAAGAGAAATTTGACCGCGAAACATTTACATATATTTAAAATTAATTATATGCCGATGGTACATAAACTCAAGAAGTTCTCTATGAAAAAGAATTTATGACCAGGGTTTCGGAAATGTCTCAACAATCGCTACGAAAATATGCAATAAAAAACTGAGGATTCTATATAAAAGATTCAAGGTCACATCTTTGCCTTGAAGACTTATCATTAATCCAAGTCAAACTGATATGCTCGCC